GATTACATGTTTGTTATCAATAGATTTCTTCATTGTATTTCTCTTTAATTAACGAGTTTCATGAAGTCTTGTATTTCAGATATGACAGAAAGAATAATAGAAAGAATAACGAGTGCACTACCACAATTTACGAACGGGCTTGCTATGGTGAAGTTTTAAGCCCTTGCGTTACAAAGATGAATAAAGCAAGAAAAAGTGTTAACAGCTTATTTTTCATGGTGATTTCTTCCTTTTGCTGTAGAAGAGCTCCATTAAAAATGTGAAAACTTAGTAGCTTCAGAGGCAATTCATCAGATTGTATAGTGATGTAGAAATGAAAAAAAGTAAATAGAATAAAACCCAGATTTAAGCAAAGGCGGCCACAATAGAGCAGCTTCTTTTGATAGATAGAGCCTGAAATGTACAAGAGAGCCTCTAAACCAACGGCCAAATTCTGTCTAAGAAAATTTATGGACAATACAACTAATGTCTCCTTACATTTGAAAACAATGTTGACTGATGATGCATGCCAAATGTAATTGCCTCAGTCTCCTCTTGTTGGGGGTTGCACGCATGAACAAAAAGGTGTTTTCTTTTTCTTCTGGATGGTTCTTCTCCCACCATAGAGATAGTCTCTCAAGAGAACTCTTGTTTTTCGATCTGTAATTCTGGTTCTTCCCCTGCTTTCTTTTTCATCATCGAGTTTCAATAAGAGAAACTGTAACTTCTGCACCTCCAACTGCAATCGCCCAATCTTTTCAGACACTCTCCGTGCCTGTTCTGATATTGTCCGCCTCCTGAGACTTCTGTTCCCATCTGACTCTATTGTGGATTTCCCATCAAGGGACAAGGAACCATCTTCAACATGAGACACCAATTTGCGATTTATGTCAAACAGCTTCATGATGTCTTCCTCAGCTTCTTCCAGCTGCCCTTTAACAGTATCAAGTTCAAGTCCCTTCCCCTTTTTGGCCTTCTCAGTAATAGCCACCGTCCTCTTCAAGTCCTGCACGGTGATTTGAAGGTTTGTCAACTTTTGTGCATCAGAATCTAGCCTTTCTAGAATCTTCCTCCTGCTTCCTTCCTGGTCTGGCTCTGCATATCTCTTTGGGATCTCTAATTTGTCCACACCCAGCTCCTTTACCCGAGATTCAGTGGGGAGATTTTTTCCCTTACGTTGCTTAACCAGTTCAATGTTACGGTGATCGGTTGGCATGGTAACTCCCTTCCGAGCCTTTCCAACTTTCAGGTCTATGCTGCCATTGCAATTGGCAGTTTCCCACAACTCAAGCATTTGATCATCAATCTCCCAATTGTGTCTCTTGCTTAACCCATTTGATGAACAATCAGATACCTGATCAAGCATAATGTCTTTTGTCATCACACCATTGCTCTCTTCAGAGATTTCAGATGTTGGTTTCTGCATCTTGAGATCATTACTGAGAAAATGACCATCCTCTCGCTTTGCACTCATATGCTTCTTTGCTCGAGTACTTTCTCGACCAGAGTGGTTCCCAGACCTTAACTCTTCAATCTGTCTCAAGCACCCTCTAATCTGGAATTAGCATTTCTTCTTTCCAGCATTGCAAACTTCTCCATTTCCATTAGTGCTTTTTCAATAGATTTAATTCTGAATTCCATATATTGCATGTCAGAAAAACTGTCAGGAACTGTTAATTGATCTTCATTTGTCTTCTTACAGGTTTCAGCGTGCAGTCCCCCTGACATTAGCATCCAGGAAAATGTACATAAAACGTCTTTGAGTCAAGAAATAGTGGAGAGTAACTAAAAAACCCAATTGCATGGTTGAAAAATTTTGAGAACATTTATACACTGAGACCATTGAGATCCAGCCCATCAAGATAAACTTAGAGTCAATGGCAAATAAAAGGTTTTGACCTGCTTTTAAGTACCATTTGCATAAATATGACATAAGGACCCAAACTTATACAAAATTCGCAATGTTGGACCCAAACTTCAATTGCACTCAATTAAGGTCTCGAAACTCCATGAAATTCTCAAATAAGGTCCCAATTGAACGAAAACTAACTTCCGTCAAATCTAACAAACACCGTTAATGACTTCTTGATGACGTTTGTCATCGGCTTCCGTGGCGTTGCACCTGCAGGTCCTGCACGCCTTTGCATGTTTTTTTTTTCTTTTACTTCATTTGTTTTTAGTAATAATATTTTTTATTAATTATTTATTTT